ATACTCCAAATTACTTTAAATATTTTATTTATTAAACAACGGGTATGACATACAGTCATCATTACAAGAAAGAGACTCCTAATAGCTCAATTGGCATGGCATTTTGTTGGAATGTTTTCTTGGGTTCAGAATATTTCCAACAATAATTTGACTCCAAATAACTATAACAACTCAAGGTCTATCAATAATGCACTTTAGTACTCTGTTATCTCTCAGTGTACATGTTTCATGTTTTGACATTTAAAGTTTTCTTTTGCAGGAAAGTAGGTAGTAGAGGGATGGTGGACCTGCAGATGCCCATTCATCTGCCCTTTTGTTTGTCCTAGCGAAAGTCCCTGTCATTGGATCACAGCCTGAGTCATTTGTTACTGTAGCATTTGCTGTGTGAAACCATGAAGCGTGACAGCCCATCTGGACCGGGCACAAATCAGAGAGCCCATAATACAGCAGACAGATGTTGTCCTCTGTCCGCCCACACGCCTTTCTATGCTGATCCAGACAAATATTTGATTCCATTCACACATTCAGTCTGTGATGGCAAGAAATAATCTTCCAAGACAAGGTTACAAATTACAATGTAATTAACACATTTCACACAGTACTCTCAGAGCCCATAATATTGATTTCTACAAATTCCTTTCAGGGATACAGCAATGAAATTAAATGTATGCATAATCCAAATTCTACAGAGGGCTTTCAGGTGAAAACAAACTGCCCGGCAGGCTCTTGGTAAATTGTAGTGAGTGTAGTCTGAGCAGCTGATTCTACATCTAACTGTACAACTTGGCTATTTTAACTTAAATTAAAAACATATGGTTAAAGTCCATATATTTTTTCATGGGGAACTTATTATTTTTTAGGGCTGTCCTCGACTAAGGATTTACAGTCAAATCAGAATTGTCAAGTCCTGCCTATAGTCGACTGATAGTCGAATCATGTCTGTTTTTGTGCGCGGCGATTCCAAGCGGGGTGGCGGGGTTTCCACACGGTAGCTTATCTTATCTTGAGAAGCTGCAGAGCTGCAGTCTCTATTAATTCAACTTACACTGTAAATGTCCAGCTAAACTGAGGCTTTTTGAAGACCCTTTTCTCTCTCTCTCTCGCTCTCTCTCTCTTGCCTGCCATTCACCGGTTTTGTGTGAGTTTTGCATGCATGCCAACAACTGGATGCACGTCGCGGTTCCTCTTCCTCTGCAGTCTCTTCAGCAAGTGGTCCTCTTCCACCACCACACACACGCTACGCCTACACATGCACACTGACGACCAAGGGTTAGGGTTACAATTTTGGATTTATTCACGCACTTTAAAAACATTTATTAGAGGTTATATTCTTTTTACATGTTTATTTACAGCATTAAACGTTGAAATGTATACTGTAATAGGCTGTATATTATATATTATTATTGTATTATTATTGGGAGAAAACTGGTAGTTCTATTTAAAATCAGACGTTGAGCACCCCCATATCGCCAAAATGGCATGATCCTCATTTCACTGCGAAGCTTCGACTGTGAGATTGACAGTCTAATCCGGCTCTGCCCATCGAAGCATCGAATCTTCGACTATTGGGGGTCAGCCCTACTATTTTTCAAGCTATTAGGTTTGTGTTTTGACAGCTACTTTTAGAAGTTGTGCCTCTCAAGCTATACAGTGTGTTGGGGTAGAGATGAGGTGGTGAAGACAAGGTTGTCTTCTTCTGTTACAACTTTATCGTATGCCTTGTAGCTACAAGTTACAAAGTGAAATGTACCAGCCACCCTTCTGTTTCCAGCAAATGTCACTGTTTAAATATGGCTACTATACAACAGAGAAGTTGTACAAAAATCAACTGCTACTCTTTTCTGCACACATTCACAATATCATTTAAATCAGAATCAACGTTATTATCGCCAAGTATGGTTAACCCCAAACTTGTTGATGAGGCCAGCTGCAGACAGAAAGAAACTGTTGAGTCCTTTAGTGTGAGGTTGCGGTCCTACTCACTTCTGGCGCCAGCGTGAGCAGGACGCTGATCCAGTAGCTCTGTACATGTCTTGTTTTTACTACTTTAAGTGTGTTTTTTTCTTTCTTTTTTTTAAACTTTAACTCTTTATATAACACTAGCAGTGTAAAACTTTATATATCCTATGGATACAATTACTTTTTACGGATAACATAGCTGTGGACAACTTGTTTATTCAAGGGAGAAGCTGCTTCCACTCCAAACAAGCCGACATTTTCCACCACATACCTGGGGAGCTGAGGAGGAGGCTAGGCTAGCGGCTAAGTGGCGGAAGTACAAGCCCTCGGTTCCGTCGATAGTGATGGGGAATGTGAACTGTCTGACCAACAAGACGGCTGGCTGCCCTTGTGAGGACAGACAGGACGTTCAGGGAGTGCAGTTTACTTTGCCTCTCTGAAACCTGGCTAAGCCAGAACACCCCGGACGCTAATGTGGATCAGACTGTACAACAGCTCCCAGTCATGGCAGGGAGGACAATAGACAAAAGAACAATTTCTACCTCCATCTGTACTCTTTACTTCCATCTGCACTACATTTGCACTGTTTACTTTTTTTGCCCTGTTTACTGTGGCTACTGTGTTATAAGATTTTAATTTTAATATAGGTTTAATGTATGTTTAATGTATGGTTATTTCGTATGCTACTGGATAATTGAATTTCATAAATAAAGTATATATTTATCTGATGGACCGCAGACTCCTGTCAGATAAATCTTTCTTGCTTACCTTGGAGTCCTGGAGGCGTGCAGATCCTGCAGATATTGCAGCTAATCACCTTCTCTACAGAGCGAATTATATGCTGCAGTCTGCCTTTGTCCTTGGCAGTGGCAGCAGCGTACCAGATGGTGATGGAGCAGGTGACAATGGACTCGAAGACTGCGATGTAGAAGTGCAACATCCCTGTCTTTGGTGGGATGAACTTCCTCAGCGGCCACAGGAAGTACATCTTTTGCTGGGCTTTCTTGCTGAGCTTCCACATGTCCTGGGTGATAGTGGTGCCAAGGAAGTGGAAGGCCTCTTCCTGAAATCCACAACCATCTCCTCTGCCTTAAGAGGGTTGTGCTCCGGGTTGTTCTGGCTGCACTAGTTCACCAGATAGTCAATCTTCCACCTGTAGGGGTTCACTCAGGGTGTTGTCATTCACAAACTTCAGGAGCTTGGTGACTGGAGGTGCAGCTGTTGGTTCCAGGGAGGAGAGTAGAGGGAAGAGTATGCATTCTTGAGGGGAACCGGCGATGATGGTCTGGGAGTCTGAGACATATTTTTAAACATGTCTTTTAAAAAGAAGCAATACACTTGCCAAATAAAAAATATTGGACAAAAAATATTATAATCACAGAGATTCTTAATAGATTTGATTCGTAATAATTCTATTACCTCTCTCTGTAAAGTTTACGCTGTCTGAAAAGGGCCTTAGTGTGAGACAAAATGATCTGGTCTGCTGTGTCATTACCATGTCTCTTGGAAAACCACCGGGTTTGGGGCCACAGCTGTAACTCTGCTAAACCCCCTCTGTGGTCTGATGAATGTCCTCACTCACCCACTTCTTTCACAAGGGCAAGGTCATTGATTTCTCCTGCTATGTTGTTGCTGCTGCTCGTTACTGCACCATAATACACAGGTGCTAATTCTACGGAAAGGCAGACACAGTAAAGCCTGAGGGAATTAGATATTGGATGTTATCTACCTCAGTCCTGGACCACACTGACAAATGAAGGCTTTCACTCTGTCCAATAATTCTTTGTTAATCTGTAAATAATTGCCCAACAATGAAAATATTGTGAATGAGTAATACTATTTTTCACCGAATTGCAAATGTATGTTGTTAATTATTTCTTTATCCACTGGATTGTTGACTTAAAAGGTAGTGTTTTTCATGCTGGTCCATGTGAGGCTGCAGGAAAATTGAAGAAAAGCTGATACAAACAGAAAACAACTTTGTTTTTAAGTGATTTTCTAAGATGAGGTTAATGGTGTACAGCACAAAGTGAAGTAATGACCTAGTCTCAGCTAATTAGTTTCCTACACGCCTTCCTAACAGTTATTCAGCTCATCTATCAATGAATCCTTTCATTGACTGCTGTAGAGACACTCACTGAGTACAACCACAGATGTACACACACAAACACAGTCTTCACTGAGACATCTGCTTTCCTCACAGGTTCAGGTTATTATTAAACTGATTTGCATACAGTGCACATAAGTACAGCTTGTTACTTTACATTTTTATTCATTTAACTGAATATCCAAAGCGACTATATATGTCAGAGGTCACACACCTCTGGAGCAGCTAGGAGTTAAGTGTCTTGCCCAGGGACACAGTGGGGAATTGAACCCATGTCATTCACACCAAAGGCATATGTCTTATCCACTATTCTACCACAAACCCAAATTCCTCAGATAATATTGTCACTAGAGCAAATCATTCTGTAAGTGTTGTTTAAAGCGTACTTACAAAGGCCTTTCTTATGCTTCTCTATCAGCTGTAGATAAAGATAAAGGGGCATAGGTGCGTAGGGGCATAAGGGTGGTGATGGGGCAGTGGATAAGATGCATGCCTTGGTGTGATAGTCCCGGGTTCATCTCCCCACTGTGACAAGCCCACCAATGTGTCCCTGAGCAAGACACTTAACCCCTAGTTGCTCCAGAGGCAATACTTACTTACAGCAATTGTAAGTAAGTTGGATAAAAGCATCAGCTAAATGAATAAATGTAATCAAAACTACTTTCATGTCATAAAAAAGTGAAAATTAGCTTTAGCATGTAAAACTATTTTACACTGACCAGAATTAATTGATAAGTTAATATCTGATTACAGCAGGTAATAAAGCTTGTTAAACATCACGTTCCTCCGACACTCAGGCAACACAGATGTGAGTCCTGTGTAGCACACAGGAAGGATTATGGGTAGGGCCGTGATCTGATTGGTTGGTTAAGTCGGTTGGTTCGGCTGCTGGAGCAAAAGTGAGGTGTTTAAAATGAGACTCAGAGACCAAGGATTAGATGTAAGATGATGCCGGCTTCTTATATTTGAAGATATGTATAAAAATAAAAATATTGGTTGGTACCAAAAATGAAAAAGTACAATAATAAAACAAGTAATGAATAAGGCGATTATTGATATCACAATCAGGCTATGACATCAGCATGAAATGCTTGCTTTCCAAATTTAAAGTGAGTATTTCACTCTTTGAAGTAGTTCTATAATTAAATTCCCGGGTGCACCCTTTAACCTAAATTTCTGTTAATAAGACCACATTCAAGTTTGTTCAGATCCAGTTCAATAATACAATCCAGTAGAATTCACACAGTACAACAGTAACCCTTAACTGCAGGAATGATTCCTACTACTCAGCTCCAAATTCTCAGTCCTAAGGTGTGAACAGGTGAGTTTGTTTAAGTGAGTCCAAACAAAAAAAATGGATGTGTCGAAGGTAAGTCAGAGTTCCATAGGGTTGGTGTATGTATGTGTGTGGGGGAAGGAGTGTGAAGGTGAGTGAAGGGGTTTTGTGTTGTAGTGGGGCCTACCACACCGCAAAGTGCAGTAGTAGCGGGACAGGTCCAGTGATCCTGAAGAGGGAATGGCTCCCACAATCATTCAAGAGGGACGGCTCGCCATCAATTTTCATCCGCAGATCCAATCCAGACAATGGAAAAAGAAACACGCGCACACACACACACACACACACACAAAAAAAACCCCTGACCTGTCAGCAGACAGGGTCAGAGAAATATTCACTGCTTAAGTCTCATGCAATAATATACACTACATGAAATTCACAATACACAATGATATACATACTTTGGGTGTTTACTTTCTGTGCCTCTCTCTCAATATTCAGCATATAAACATAAATAACTTGGCTGCACACAACCAGATAAGCTGCACCAATTAGCTGCACGTTAGAACAATTAAAGTTTTGATGCAAGTGCAAAATAAAGTAAGCTGAGTTTACACATTAAACAACACAGTAAACCAGCTTGTTCAACTAAAATTGTAGCTTCATATTCACTAAGTGCACATAAATAATTTAAGGTACAAAGTAAGTTAGAGTTGAAAATGAACATTCTCACCGATTTCACCAGAGCGACTGGACACACACACCCAATATGGCGGCGCCCAGTAAAGCCACAAGGTCTTCTAAAACCGAAACATACGAGACCGTATGCAACTTTCAGTACTTTCTCTCAGTGCAAAATAAATTAGCTTTCACATTAAGGTGATAAAGAATGAACAAAAACAGTTTTAAATGAATTACCTCGCTCTTGAATCAGCACAGACTGCGCGTCGCGGGAAATCCTACGGACGTCAAAGCTACCGACGCTGCTAGTAGTCGTCTCAAGCGCTACATCTAAACACTGAACTTACAACTAAATTCTTACAGCAGTTAGCTACCACGTTTGTAGTGTTGAAGTTAGCCTCAGTGTAGTTCGTTTTTAGCTGTATTTTCTCCAGGTTTCTCCGTTTTTCCACAGTTTTCATCCTCTACAGCAGCGTAGCACTTCTGTCTCTCCACACACACACAGCAGCTGGGGGAAAAAAAACTTTCGCTCGCTCCCAGAGACGCGGGAGCAGGTGGGCGGGCCTACCTGCTGTCAGCTGATTGGCCAAACTAACCTGTCGGTCTATTTTGCCCTGGTAACTGAATTTTAACCCTTTAAAATCCTTAGATAATCTCTAAAGTTGCATTTCAAGAATAAAATCACTCATTCAGATTTTTATAGGCTTTTCCTATTTTTAAACCTAGATCATTTCATCTGTGTTACACCTGCAGCTGATCTGCAGCCCTTGTGGCTGGAAATGTTTTAATAACCTTCCAGAACTTTATGGTTTTGTCCAGTTTGTTTGGCTACTATTAAATGTGTAACGAACTTTATCGTGTGTCTCTTCATTGTACTCCCACACAAAAAAGCTGCTTTAATGGTCAAGCAAGCCTGCAGTTTTTCATTATATTACAGTCAAATCTGATGTTCATTTATAATGTTGCTCGTGGATAGTGGTTACAAATAATGATGCATGTGCATTGCTTTGTATGGCTACAGCTACGTCAGCTTGTTAATTTGCTTAATCTTCGCAGGTCTTTAGACCACGGTGGAAACGCACACAACAGTGGGCTGAAGGAACCTTTTAGTTCCTTGAAAAGAGATCTGGCGACATAAAAGTCGCCGGTACCTTTGGTCAAAAAGTGGCTTAACTGCCACCTTCTCAAACACACTCAGACCAGTCTCACAACAGCACTGCATTACAAATACAAATTACAGTAAACCAAATTATAAGACAATGTAAAGAAATCTACTAGGACTACTGTAAATAAGAAACTAAAAGCCAAAGTAGATTAGAATGTTATCTGAATTATGAATTGTCAGAATGTCTCTCTATTGTCACAGAAAGAAAGAAAGTCACAGAGACAGATCAAAAGAACTAACTCGGACTTCTTCAGATCTGCCGCCCCCTGTTTTACCGATTCCTGGCTCACAGAGCACATCCCAGACAGTGCACTTCACCTACCGCTTTTAATCACTTCAGTGCGGATCGCGTAACGGAGCTCACGGGAAAAGCAAGGGGAGGTGGACTAAGTGTCTTGCTCAGGGACACAATGGTGGATGTCTCACAGTGGGAATTGAACCCAGGCACCAAAGGCAAGCATCATATCTATGCGCCACCACCCCCGCTTCAACAGAGCAAACCTCAGCCATGAACTTCCTAAGTACAGACAGCATATTAAGTGTCCCACCAGGTACACTAATATACTGGACCACTGCTACACAACATTAAAGGACACCTATCGCTTCGTTCCCCGTGCAGGACTCTCTGATCACTGTCTTATCCCGACATACAGGCAGAGACTGAAATCTGCTAAACCTGGTGTAAAGAGTGTGAAAAGATGGACAAACGAGTCAAAGCTGGATTTACAGGCCTGCTTTGACTGCACTGACTAGAGTGATTTTGAGACTGCAGCCACTGACCTGGACAAGCTAACTGACACTGTGACATCTTACATCAGTTTTTGTAAGGACATGTGTGTGCCGACTAAAACCTTCTGCACATACAACAACCAAAAACCCTGGTTCACAGCTAAACTCAGGCAGCTTTGTCAGACTAAAGAGATCAAAGCAGCAAAGAGGAGCTACGCTGAAAAGCTAGGAAACAGCTTCACAGCCAGCAACCCTGCATCAGTGTGGAGAGGCCTGCAGATACTAACTACAGGAGACCAACTCCCAACACTGCTAGTACTCAATGACTGGCTGAGGAGCTGAATGGTTTCTATTGTAGGTTTGAGAAGCCCACAGTCACACCTCTCCCCTGCTAGGTGCAGGTAGGTGCAACAAAGCACTGTACGCCAAAACCAATAGACTCAGGAACAGTTTCTTCCCACAAGCCATCACTCTGATGAACAGCTGACTCTGACTCACAGTGTCTGGAAAAATTCCTGTGCAAAACCCAGTAATTCTGTCTCTAATCAGCCACCTTTTTACTGACTATCACTTATCATTTATTTATTCATCATTCTCTATTTCAGAGCTGTTCATACTGTTCATACTGTTCATTTTGTATATTGTCCATACTGATTACCAAATCCACCTACCTCAAGTACACCTGCACATAATACTTATTTATTCCAGCATCCTTTCCACTCATCACACAGTGTACATGTGTACATGTATGCTTGTATGTGTATGTGCACCTGTATATCTCATCCACCTCCAACATGTACATAATAATAATTATAATAATAATAATAACAGTAATAGTAATTTACTCTTGTATCATTTGCACTCTGCTCATTGCACTATTGCCCTATTGTCTCAATCTGCCTATTTTGTTGTAGTTTATAATGTGTATATATGTGTTCTCTATACTGTAGCCTGTGTTTCATTTTATTATTGGATTATCCAGAGTCAAATTCCTCGTATGTGTACATATACTTGGCTATAAAGCTGATTCTGATTCTGATCCTAACCAAGAACAGGCTTGGTTTTCACAATTTACTTAAATATAGATATGAGGAAGTACATGGATATGTAATCAATATCAATATTAATGTTGCACATTATATTTTGATACTTTGACAACATTGTTTTGGAAACTTTCATGCCAATAAAGCCCTTTGTATTGAACAGAATACTCAAGGCACTGTCATCGTTGAGTCATTTCCTACTAGCGATTCAGGCCATTGTGTATTAATTAACTGTTGTTTACTTTCAAATACAAGCACTCACTAGCACACTGCCAAGGGTTTTCAAGTACTGACAAAATTGCCAGTTCCAGAGAGGGAACGTTCTTGTTTTGCCAAGGCAATTTATTTTGAAAGACTCATTAAAGGATAACATTGTTATTTTCCTTGGCATATTTTTACCAAACACCCCTGGCTCAGCTGTACAACTATAATTCATCATGAATTTACAGTTTACAACCTGTTATTTATCTGACCAGAAAAACTTAAAGTAGCCTCTGTTTATGTGGGGTGGTTTCTTGCAGATGGAATACATGCTTTTGGAATTATGTCAGCATTAAATCATTTATTGATCTGTTTACAATGTGAAAACACTAATGTGAAAAGAAATCTTTACAAAACTTAGAAATACTGTATAAGCAGAGTTTCTAGTACTTGTGACAATGTGCTGTAAGTTCTTGTGTCAAGCACTCAGACTGTTATTGTAATTACCAGAGTTTCCAGCAAGGGAGAAAGCCTTAGGTGGCATAGCTTCTTTTATTTTCAGCAGCTTGTACTGTTTTACTGACGATATAGCTTTACGTTAAACACAGCTGAGAGATGATATGTCCCATGCTGTAAGAAGCCACAGGAACGGTTCAAACTCTTCCTCTCAAACAAAATGACACCGTAAATACTGAGATGGATTTTAGTATATATATATATATTTTAGTGGAGTCAATATTTGTTTGTGATGATGTACAATTTACAGCTTCCTGTTTTCGACCTATACCCACATATATCCAAATGTATACACACTGACCATTATTTTTAGCTTGGTTTTGTCTTTTCCTTCATGTTGATCACGTTCCCACTTGACTTTAATATACTGCTGCCTGTCAAAAGTCTCTCAGGGACAGATCTGGACTACTTCAAAAGTAATCATTATACACTTTATGAAACCTAAATGCTTAAAATCTGAGTACATTTTAAACGTATACGTTTCAATGTCACAGACAATAATTGGAGCTCTGCCAGTCAGTTTCTGGTTATGCCATAGCTCTTTCTTCTTTTCTCTCCCTTGTCTTTTCTTTAGTGTAATTACTCCTCCTCATTTTTACAAATACGAAATAAATAAAAAAGTTGTATTAACAACAACAATCCTTTCTCATTATAATAAATTGTCTCTTTCACAGTGACATTGATGTATTAACCTGCAAGTATATATAGCATTTTAAAGTACTTAATATACTGATTCATCATATTTTATGGGCTTAACATATGTTTAATGTAACACCTTATTCTGCAAGGGAACTAGTACCTGCATCATCATATAAAGATAACTGATGGAATTGAAAGGGACACAAGTTACATCTTTCTTTCTTTCTTTCTTCTTTTTCTCCAACAAAACTGTTCGTGCAGCAAAGTCCAAAATGCTTCAAAATTAGCAGGTGCAAATTTGACCCAATACTAGGGCGCATAAAATGACACTCATTGACCTGAAGGTGGTGCTGTGACAATCAAGTTTAAGTTTTTGTAATTATATCAAAAATGGCTAGGCTTAAGCTTGATTTATACTCCTGCGTAGGGTCTACGTGCGTAGGGTCTACGTGCGTAGCTACGACGTAGGCTATGCACGTAGCCAGGCATTTATATCTGTGCATCCGTGTGTCCGTCAATCTGCAATTACACCCCCAAATGCTAGTCTGTAGTAGCGCTAAAGCATCCACTGTGTTGACTTTTGCTGGCCGAGCAGGCTAACTTCCGGTTTAGCGCTCCGCTAACATGAATAGGGGTAAAATTGTATACGTGCGGCTGGTGTAGCGTTTTCAAATGTTATCGGTCGAATGGATCACATTCTGATAGTGAAACGATCATTTCGCTCGGGTTGTGACAGTCAAATATATTGATCCACGGTATTACAGCCGCTGTTTTGGCCACTATAAAAGTTACTTCAAAGCACGGGCACTTCCAGTCGGCTCAGAGGCATTGCGAGGCTACCCAGCCGACCAATCACAGAGCTTACAGTCTGCATCGCCTCGACGTGTAGTTACATTTTTGAGGAGGTGCATGTCAGGTTACGGCGTAGGGTAGGGGGCTACACAGAGGCTACGCCGTCAATTTGACGCAGAAGTATGAATTGCACTTTAGAGTCAAAATTCATACAGCATGTAAAGAAAATATAAAAACGTCAAATTTCACAACTTTTTCTCAATTTTCACAAACTCCTATTTTTATTATTATTTTTAAATCAATGTTAATCACCCATATGTCCTTTTTTTGTGCAGCAACAACCTTGAAGGTCCTATAATATGCAAAATGAACTTTTTCATGTATTTTCAACATAAATGTGAGAGCAGGTCCTGAAAATGCAGCCTCCTATAC